CCAGGACATAATCCTCTGGCGTGGGGTTACACAACCCTAGTTGACATGACCAATTAATGACTACACAGAAGGCCACCTTAGACAGCTGGGCGTGTCAAAGAAATTCAGCTGCATGCCATCAGCGTCTCCATCTCCCAATCTTATACAACAAGACCTTATGGCTAAAGCCCCTGCAGTAGCCAAGGCGGCCTGGTCGATGGTCTCCCTGGGCACTTGTGCCCGCATGATTGTGTTCAGGTGCTCAGTGAGCATCTGCAGGGAGGACAGGCAATGATTTTGTCGTCCAATACAATGCGCCAAATGTTGTGGCAAGCTCCCTGTCAATAGGCTTGTGACAAGATGACTGACTCTGCTTGGAGGCACGCAAGGCGCGTCTATGTTCTGAGCACACTACTGCGCTTGCTTTAGAATTTTACTTCCCGCATGTACTCACTAGCCATACGGTAGTTAATGCCTTCGCAAGCTGCAACTAAGAATGGCTTCATACGCGCTTGATTTCGCATATTGAGCCCTTGCAGGAGGATGCAAGTACCCACTGTGGTCGGGGTTTCTTAGGAGCACTTGCGCTACGTGCGCTTGAAGCTTCCCTGAAGGGCCTGGCCAGGATCAGTGCCCGTGGCCTTTATCATAATCCGCCTGAGAGGGAGGGCTGAAAGGCTTCGCTGCGGGACAGAACCCAGTTGGCAACATGTTGCGGTGTGTTCCATCTTCAAAGGAAAGCTTTGCAGCCGTAACATCATGTATCAATGTATCTCTCACGTGATGGGTTCCCTGTGCCTGACCAGCGTCGCAATGCGCGTGTACAGCAGACCTTCGTCCTGCAACCGGCTGGCGGGTCGCTCTACTTTGTCAATGCTGCATTTTTTTGGTCATTCTTTTCTTGTGTTTTTGTTGCATCTTTTTCACTCTACGCTATCCATAGGTGTGTGTCGTTTCTGGCTTCTGATTGAGAAGTGCGGAGCTGAGGTACCTCTCCAGATTGCACAAGCACATGCCCGATGCGAGACTTTGTTTTTTCAAATATGTAGCCAGCAACCGCCCAAACCCTGCACCTTTCACTAAACACTCACTTGCCTGCAACCGCTCTCTGCGCTTCAGGTTGGAGATGTGGGCAGCTGCTTCCATTGTTGATTCAACGAACATCGCGCTGATGACGTTGAATAGCACAATCTCCACCACTAATGTGAAAAGGGTGTAGAACCTGAACTCAAACATTCCATGGAGCACCGACCCCGCGAGGAGCAGGCACATGCTGCAGCCATCATGCAAACAGAAGGAGCCACATCAGGAGACACGCGCTAAATGTGCCAAGTCACAGGCCCATGGTCGGACCATTGTCTTGAGCCACCTTATCTCGAAAAGGCCCAGGAGCATGAAGCAATGGGCATGCCGTGCAGCGTCTTAGCCCGACCCGTTTTCAGTGAAGCTTCTTAGCATGCTGGGCCGCGTCACTTCGTGACCACCGAAGCTTGAAGATTTAGAGCCAGTGAAGAAGCATGCCTTCCTAGCTACTTTTGACACATCAACATCAACCCACCAAGCCATATCACCAGGAATATCTTACGAAGCACAGTGGCGAACTGGATATGATTTGGCTTTCGGGAAATTTCTTCAATGTGATCATGTAATATCATCTGCCAACTCTGGCGTGCCCAAATAGGGTGGTTTTGGGTTGATGGCGTCCTATGCCTTTAGTTTATGCAGGCTTTGACGCGGCCTTTGTGGTTTGGCTTGCGCAGCATTGAGCGTAAATCGTTGAAATCCATTCAGCACCTCCCAGCTGCTCGATGCTGCCATGAGACGTACTCAAAGATTGGAACACCTGACAGGCCGCATTCTTGTTCGAGATACCATCTTGTCGACATCGCTGCTGCAAGCCAGCATGTGCAAACTTGACAGCGTTGCCCATTTTGGAGTTGCAGTCTCCAAAGCTGCAGCGGAAGGTAGTGAACCATGCTCTGGGTACCTTGGTTAAAAGCCCGGCAAGCATGCCCTGCCTTCCAAACATCATGCTTCATTTGTTTAAATATCGTTTGTCGCTCCAGGAACAGTCCATGCCTGGGGTTGACTGTCATGCAGTTGCTCTTTGCATGCAGACGTGTAACATGTATACCAGAACCGAGCATGTTGAGCACATGATCGCCAACGACGCAAAAATGAAATCTTAATTACATGGCTGAAAACAACCGCAGGACGCTATCGAACAGCTCGAAGACATGCTCCTGCGTATGCAGTCAATGCGATGCCTGATCATCGGAACATGTCGAAAACCCCTTCTGCCCCTCTTCATTAGCTCTGAAGTCTACACGGCTTTGAAGTGGAATCGTGCCAAAAGCCCGCTTTTAGAAACTTATTGGACCCAGCTGGGTGAAAACAGCAGGTCACAACATTGGTATGAATGAAGCTGAATTTCAAGCAGAAAGCCCAGCATGGAAGGAAAGGTGGCCTGCTAGGCAACACCTAGCGGACCTAGCGTCCCGTCCTTGGAAGCGGTGGGCTCCCTGCCGAGGGTTTCTCGAAAAACCAGAGCGACCACATACCTTAAACTCAACATCAGCGAGGGCAGCTTGCGTATAAAATCGAGTAATGCGTCCTCGATGCATGAAGACAGCAAAGAGGAGCAGCGACCAAACCTGCCGACCAGAAGTGCTCGTACAATGCAGGGTGCCATTGAACTTCAAGTAATCTCACGAAGGCTCCAACATGTATCTGCTACCGCGGCATATGACAGTATGTCCAATCCGTGAATCACAATGGCCGAGCAGCAAGGGTGTACATCCCTGCCACGATCCCATGTATCCTTGGACGTATCACTTGGGCGTGCGGTCATTGGACTAGAGGCTTCTCGACTGGATGCTTCTGGATCGCACCTCATTTTTTTTTAACAGGGTTTGCTGATCATGGTTCGGTGGTCATGTCCCCTGGAACTGTCTGACTCTTAGCCGACCTTAGCTGCAAACAGCTCAAGAGAATTGAGACAATGCTCAATCTCCTGTCGAAAACTTCGGGCCTGGCAATTGCCCGGCCCTCAGTTGCGGATCTGGTCATGCAAGGCCTGTTCGCCTGCTCAACCGGCTCAACCGCGGCAAGGCGTGTAGGAGCAATAAGCTCAGGCCACGAAATACTTTGAAAAGTAGCTCTAGATTCCAGGGCCTCGCTGCCCTGAGCCATCTTGCCTACCACCTCAGCAAGCTGTCACTCTTCGAGTGGTCTGCAAAAAAAAACACAATCTTTTCTCAACGCTATCCAAAGGCATGAGTACGCCGACTTCACATACCCGGGAAGGCGTGATGCCTCCGTTGCAGGTCCATGTGCTTCTGCGCTTTGCGCATTGAACCTCCGACTACAGCGACAGAACATAGATGAAAAGCTCCTCTGCCCGTCTTGTATGAGAGACATGCACGGAAGCCAAAGCGGGGTTGAGCGAACACTAAGGCTTCACCAAGGTTAATGTATTGCGGCATCATAGGATGGAATGGAGTGGAGCATGTAGTTTGAGCTGCTGGACAAATCACATTCTCTGAATGAGTGCTTGCCATGTAAGATCCCCTTTGCACGGCCCGGCACTGGCTTGGCCTTGGGAAGGCGGTCGGAAGACTGAAAGCAACCAAAATGAAGATCACTTACTACCAGTACTTGCTGCGAGTTGATCCCTTGGCAAACTGCAATAGGCCGTCTCTGCAAAAGGAGGGATCGACTGAGAAGCTGGACAAATTTTAAGCTCCAGTTTCTTTTTCAAAAGCCACATCAGCTGCCGGAAAGGAAGCTTGCAATTCAAGCTCATGCTCTGAGGTGCTCTAAGGCTCTAAGTATTTTTGAGAAGGTCACAGCAGCACAGCTTCCTTTCGCGTGCTCACATGTAGGCACGCACGAGTACTCCACAGATACCGGACAGGAGCGTCCCTAAAAAATAGACCTGTTTGAGGAACAGTTCCTGCGTGATGGTCACGCCAAAGATGATGAACCCTGTCGAGCTGTCAGCAACATACCTGCACAAGTACTGACGATCGGGATCCAGATCGCGGTCTGAAGGAATCTGGTTGATGAACCTTGGTGCATGATCCTGCTCCATTTTTGGCAGCCTTGAGATTAAACATGGAGGGCCAAGATCTCCCTCCTCTATTTCCATGAGAGTGATGTACCTGAAGCCCTCAATGGCCACCAGTTTTCCACAAGCGTAGTCAAAACTCCACAGAAACTCTGAAAAACTATGGATGGGATACGGAAGTATGTAGAAGGGCCCTGCGCTACTCATCTTCCGGGCGGCGTGGGGATGGATCTGCACTTCTCTGTCAGTGCCGCAGCTCGTGACATCAAGATCAGGGATGCCAGAAACCTGGGGGGTAAAGCTACAGGTCTGCGAGTTCACGGCTGACTGCAGTAGTGATTGGTTTTGGTGGTGCTACAAAAAGCTTGTTACGCCACCAGTCTTCTTGTGCAAACTTATTCTTTAACCGCAGAAAGTAAAACTTCTGGAAGAGTGCCCAGGCACAAGAAGAGCAACCTGGCAGCTCAGCTTTTAATCAATGTGCTTGTGATGCCCGCATCTGTACAAGTGGGCCTGCTAAGTATGCCAGCAACCTGCGCTGGACACGAGACCTGGCTAGATTATAACAACTTGGCATACGCAATGGCCTAACGTCGCCTTGGGTGACCTCGCTGATTTCTTTTATCTTGCCACCTCGTCTCATTGTTTTGGTCAAATTTAATACAAATCATTTGCTCTGATTGAAAGGCTGGCTACGAAGGCGAAAGCTTTCAGTGCGCGTGGGGTTGGGTCTGTGCTGCATAGTGGTTGTGGCCAAGATTTTCAAGCCCGAGCATTCTTTCACGCAGCAAAGCAGGTCCAAATTTCAAGCTTTTCAGTTGAAAGCACTACGAGCAGGGGGATTAGTTAAAGCCTCAGAACAACGCCACGCTTATCCAGACGCATGTGGAGTTTACGCGAAGCTACGACGGCCATGCAAATTCATCCCAGGAAGTATGCACTGCCGTGTCACGTGAGCTTGTTTTACAACAGCAAAACGTTGTGCGTGACTTGTTGGTGCAACGGACCATCAACATCTCATCTTATATCTTGTTTACCAGTTTCCATGTCAATCACCAGGGGCACGCTGCATCTTGGGGCTTATGTTACACCCAGGCACTGGCAACTTGGATCCTGCCTCATGGATGGTCTGCAACCCCTAGCACCAGAGTAATCTCAATAATCCATTGGGAGGCCCCTTCAATCGTTTACTCTTGCTAAATTGTTGTGGCCAGTTATTTTTGCCCATTTCATGGCGCTGCTTGAGGCCAGGCAAGACATTCATCATCCATTGCCAGCTCGTAGTCTCGATCCCCTGCTATAGCACATGTTAGTGCAGCTTCACCTTGAGAAAAAGCCACCAACCAGACACAATTGAGAAGTGGTAAGCTAACGTGACCACTAGTACGAATGCTGCTACAACTGGAGCTGCAATCCACGCGCATGCGAGTTTTCAAGTTACAAAAACCTTCATGCAAAGAAATACTCACAACACAATGCCTTAGCCCCAAGTACAGGTGCCTGCGGAATGACTTCGCACTTAACCACGGTAGCTAGATCGGCTAGTAAGTGGGTGAAGCAGGCAAGATTAAGCTCGCTATTTCCATTTTCGGGCAACTGCGTCAATTCAGCTATTTTGGTTTGAGCTTGCATGAGCTTGCACCCAATCATCCAGCAAGACGCTGGGGCCCCTTGACATATTCACAGAACACAGGGTCCCGGGAAGTGCAAACATTTAGTTTACCGGAAAGGGGCACTCAACCTAGATTCGGCAGATGGAGTGTCTGAGAGTCCAAAGCTGCCAACGAAATTGCCAAATTTGCTACTTTCCTTCCGTGTAATCGTGCAGCTCAGCGGCGGAAATGCAGAAGCTGCTTCAGCAATGAGCTGCACAGTTGTGGCTTCAGCACGCAGTGACATACCGGCTGTTCCACCAAGCAGGAAGCAGAACCCCACCGAGGCTAAACTCTGCAGAATAAGGAAGCTCCTGCTCAAAGCCTGTGCCACCGATTTGATGGATGCTTGCATGACGTTCCAACCTCAAATCAGCAGCAGGTGCATTGGCGCAGTGAGTTTGCCTGATGCCCCTGCGGAAAAAACTCACGTGCAAGCCAAACAACCGTAAGCTAGCAACGCCAAGCAGCTTTGTGCAGCAGCAGCGAAATTGGACTTTGAAAGCAAGTCGTTGCACCAGCAATCGAGCATGCGGTTAAGTCCTAGCACCATGCTCCGAGCTAATGCAAGAGTGGCATGAGGAGCTTTCATGACCTCTGGACTCTGGAGGAGATGCAAGCTGATACAGGAAGCTTGAGGTTGTCATTCAAGCGCATGCCAGCATGCGTCGGCAGCTTCGTGCAACATGTTTCTTTGGATTTTGCAATGATGACTCTGAAGCAGAACTGCGGGTTCAATCAGCTCCATGCCCAAGCCAATCTTTTGCTGGGTCTCTAGATGTTAGATCGCCCCGTCCCAGCATCTGCGTGCGGCATCATGCAGCATGACCTCTCAAGCAAGTCAACTTAGTCAACACCTGACAGATCGGCCCCACCCGTGCAAACCAACCAACAGCAGGGGCGCGGCTCCTGCCAAACAGCGAGCTTGGGAGATGACAGTCAGCACCACCAAGGCACTGTAAACCATAAAGCACGTGGCCGCAACAGCCTGCATCTGCGCATCTATCACTTGACGCACACATGTCAGGCTCTAACTGAGCAAGTGCCGTTGGATTAGATATGATTAGATGCATCTACATCTGGCCCACCCTTCTACATATTATGGCCGACGGTTCTGATAACAGGCCATCAAAATGGTTTCGCCCTTCTTGAAAGTCTGAAACTGAGGAGGACAAAGCCTGGATGGCGTGGGCGGCGAGCCTGCCAATCTCCGAGTCTGAGTCAGAATCATCCAAATTCCATACCTCAAGAACAGCAAACAGCAGTGCGCTCAGCCAAGGCAGCTCTCTCAACTTGAGCCATTTTCACCCCACCTTGAAGATGTGCTGTACGACGTCACCCATGACCATAAGGAGCCACACCACAATGAATTGGGAAGTACGGACGCCACCAGCCTAAACTCAACACGCAAAGTTGACAGAACAGTCTGATCACCTGTGAACTGACGGGGCCGGAGCCACTTGCTGTAGGTTGCTTGGCGTTGTGATTTAGCTTTCGTGGACCCATGAGATTTTTTGAACGCGAGCCATGATTCATTCTTCCTGGTATCAATGGTTCTCACCAGCTTCATGTAAACAAACCTACAGAGCAAAGCACAGCAAAGGCCAATGTAGTTGGTGGGCAGAGCTCCAATGACAGTCCAGCTCAAACTCGTGTGCGAATCGGCCCAGCTGCTGATCCGCCAACTTCCTTGGCCACGTGCTACTGGTGCAACGACAGATTTTTACTGCCTAAAAGACAAAAAAACTAGCTGAAAAAAAGGTACCTTGTAGCTGGCATCATGCTCTCCGAGTGCATGGCACGCTTGAACTGGCGAACGCAGTGAACACCCACTATACTGTATAGCATCGTTACTGCTGCGAGAAAGTGGAAGCTCACCTGCATCAATAGCATAAATTCCATGAAGGTAAATACCTGTGTGTACATGGAAAACCCGAAAAGCTTAACGAGAATACTACGAGAATGTTGATGGCCACAGCAGCCAAAGTGCGCCACGAACGTCGACCAAGATTCGGACAATGACGATAGCGCAAAACGTCGAAACCGCAGCAATTCTCAGAAGCGTCAGGAGAATTTCGGATGAACCAGACATCCAGCGGAAGCCGCTTTGGTCACAAATGCTCGGCATCGCGGCGTTCGAAGGCAGAGTCAGCAAACAATCCTGCACAGCCTGGGGCTTCTCCAAATGATCATTATTCTTTCAACGGACATTCTGGCATTTATTCGGAGAACCTTGCTGTGCCAACTGGCAACCTGCCTGATTCAGGGTTGCCAGCTTAATGCGCTTTGCATCTGACTGGCGTCTTGTGGACATCATCCGCGCGAAGCTCTCGGTTTGCTGAGGGCTTCTGGAATCATTCACCCCGCCAAGAGGCAAGCCTGGGTTCAACGTCCAGACCATACGTCTGAGCAGAGGTCCATTTACATCTAGTTCGTCCGGGTTACATTGGCAATTGATTTTGCAACGGGACTACATGGGCAGCAACGTTGCTACGTGTACATGACTTCAGAAAGACTTCTGGATAATTCCGCCACCTTTGACAGACCAACCTGCGCTAAAGATTCCGGGGGAACGCGGATTGTAGATGATTGTAGTTGAAGTTCTGCGCCGTTTATCAAAGCTATGGTAAGCTACGGGTACCAGCTGCGAGCCTGAGACTGAGGAAAACCTGCGAGCCCAGCTGCTTGCCACTCTGTGCAGCGGAGGCGGAGGCGGATGTCCGCTCACCGGAGTCGGGACCAGCGACAGTGCTCCATTGCACCTGAGATTGGAGCGAATCCTATCGCCCACTCTCTATGGTGCAGCTGGATTGCACCTGAACACGGGCTTCTTTAGTGACATGCTACATGTATGTGTATGATATCTGGAAACCTTCCTGAAGTGACAGCTGTGGAGCTCGTCTGGCGAAGGTGCGTGGAGACTTCGAAATACAACGTCCTCTTCCTTCGAACGTTTTTGGAGATTGCCTTCTTTTTCTAGCTAAGGTCGGGCCCCGTTGAATATAGACAACAGCTGCTGTCCGGGATGCATTTGGTTTGAAACCGCGAATGTTGTCAAGTGGTAATACGGTTGTGTGAGCAGGCTTCATCGGGGTAATGTGGGCTCTGTGGGTGGAGAAGAACCGCAGGAAGCTTTGAAAAGGGGGTCGAGCTTACAGGGATGGGCACTTTTTCTCTCGGTCCATTACATGACTATGCCAAAATGGTGACAATCTTGATCAGAAAGGCACCGAACTAAATGCAGCGATCAAATCCTAAACGACCATCCTGAATCACAGTATCTCTGTCCTGAAAGGAAAACCCCTAAGTGGGACAATTTGGTCAGTTCTGTATGGAGTCTGGGATGACTGTTTGAGAAGTGCTGTGGACGGATTCAGGCCAAGCATTTCGAGAAAGGTCGCTAATTGGAGAAACTCACGCACACAATCAACGTTGTTTTACAGCATAGCTTAAAACAAGCCAAAACATACCGAGAAATGCCAATTTTGTGCAATGCTCCGATGAAAAGAAGAAGGCGATTCCATGATGTTTGTTCACCCGTCCATTGCAAGTTTTTGCTTAGTAAAGCGTCTGGGGCCAGGTGTTTTTCTCGTTCCACGGGGAGAACTCCACTCCAGTCGTGTCTGCTACCCTTGGCACACTATTCGTGTTCCAATTGTCAGGCATGCGGCCATGACAACCTGCTGGTTGCATTTTGTCACTAGATTTGGAGTTTGGGGGTGCATACTTAGTCCTAGAGAACTGTTTGAAAATGAGTCTTGCGACAGAACTCTGACCACATTCCTAAGGTCCCTTCAAGGTGCACCTTCCCCTGTTGCCTGCAGAGCCTAGAAGTCTTGCATCGCCTGGATCGAACGAATTCTGATACCTCCTCGCAACTGTTATCTCATTCAAGCCCTTTTCCGTTGAACCCTCGTTTGAAGCCCAGAGTTGCAGCAGTTCCCCATCTAGAGATGGACATGCAAAAGCCATCATTCTCATGCAGCGAGGACGTGGGACTGTGATACGTAGGGTGGAGTCACGCCAACGGCAGACTCTTCCACATTTTTGCCGAATGCCGCCTGACAAGTTGGCAACCGGGGGCCTTTGCCAAAGCTTAAACTTTTAGAGAGACAAGCAGAACGCTGATGAAAAGTCATCACAAGGACCACGTAAAAGCACCTGTTTATTTTAGTTCCTCAACAATTGTCCCATCCCAGCCTGACTCAGCTTCTGCACCGCGGGAAAGCGCCCGACAAAGGTACCTCAAAGGAAAGATGCAGCGACGCTTACGCCACGCGAAATAGTGGAACATCCTAAAACCCTACAGTTGTTGCTCACATCGCTACAAGCTCCGCCCCGCTCCACTGATCAGGCGTGCCTTGGAGCTGGTGTACGCTTGCCGAAACAGACTGCAGCTGTTGTAGGACCTTGAGATCTTCGCATGATCCTTTTGCAGAATCTGATGCAGTTATGCGCCCATCCGCATCTGCCGGAAAGCATATCAAGCGAGCGAACTAGATGCAGGGAATGCGCTTCCAGCATAGCCCTTGTGGGGCTAAGATTTACGTCGCCATGCAGCGCTGAGCATCAAACTGGTACCTCCCTATCTCCTTTGCATGACAAATGGTGAGGACATAGTGCCATGACTGCAGCCAATGCCACCTCACGGTGCAGCAGCTCTTGGTGCTGCCGCGCCGCCTGGCCAAAGCATTGCATCACTGTTTCTATTGAAGCAGAAGGCCCACAACTTTCAGTTCTCAGTTGTGCTGTGGCCCCAGGAGTGCTCAGGGCAGTCAGCACGATAACACTTATGACTGCGCATGCTAATGCTACTGCTGCTTCGGAATAGCCATGGCAGTACGTGGGGCCCTTGCAGCAAAGAGAGCAATAGCATGACTGACACATGGCAGGAACAGAAACCATCTTCAGGATGTTCACCTGCTTGCCTTGAAGTGTAGGCCAATTGCATCATCCATCAGCGGCAGGCAGAGGTTGCTGGACAAGGGCTGCCCGGCCGCTCAACGAACCAAAGCAGCGCCAGCTGGGCTAGTTCCAATAGTGCTGGGACTGCGAGGCCGTCCGCCACATCTAGTAGCAAGACCGGTAGTAAGAGCACATGTCATAGTAGTACAATTATGTACTATTACTAGTACTGGCAGCTGTGATAGTAATGATGATAACAGTATCAGAAGTAAGGCGGTGATTCATCGCAGTAATGGCACGCTTTGTTACAGTGCTGGCAGCGCCAATAAGTGCAATACTCATGACCGAAATGATGAAGAAGTCCACAAGCATAAGAGCAAGGGTAGTAATGACAATGGTAGTAGCCATAAACGTCTACGTGCAAATATGGCAGCTGCAAAGTTGGCACAAAAGAAGGAGATATTGGCTGTAGGACT